AAAAAAATCATGCTTATTAATTACTTTCTACAGCTATGCAAGTCTATATTAAGACAGCATTAAATGTTTACTTTAATCTGTACTTTCAATCTCAAGAATCAAAACATTTTTAAAAATGTAATTTCAAATGTGTTGGGATTTAACAAACACCAAGAACGAAAGTAATTTCATTAACTAAAATTAATTAATGCAGCAATTTATTTAAAATAAATTTTAAAACTAAGAAAACAAAATAACAGAAGTATCAATAATTTAAAACACTGACTTTTAACTTTTAAAATCAATATATATATTTAAAAAGAATTAGTTGATTTAAATCAATGATTTTTTTAAAAAAATCATTTGATTTAAATCAACAAACCCTGATTATAGTCAAAACAAATCTAAAACAAGAATTTGTAATAGAAAATGAATAGATTTATATTCTTATTTTTAAAAAAATCTAAGAAAATTTAACCATGTTGCTATGAAATTTTACAAGAAACATATTATAATAATATTGTAGACATTAGATTTATTTACTTTGGACCACATTATTGGCTATTTTAAGATAAGTTATTTTCAAAGAGTTTTCCAAGAATGTTTAATGAAATGTTATACGAATGCTAGCTGAAAATGCAATATTCCTTGACATTTGTTTTTTCTGATAATTGGATTTTTTGATAATTTTAGGTTTTCTGTTCCCATGGAAAATCTTATTTGTCTCTTTCCATAAAATAGCAAACGACAAAGAAATAAGGTAATAATATAAAAAAATGCATAAGAACACAACAAGTACTTTTCTGTGTACACTTTTTTTTTTACCTACAAATTAAACACATAAAATATATATCTTCAAACGGAAAACAAAATTAAATTGAAGTTGTTTGCATGCTACAATTAAACATTTCTCTCCATTTACCAAAAAATGCCTCAATATAATAGCCTTAATGTAAATTAAAAACTTCATATGGATTGAATCACTAAAAAATTATCTCTGGAGTTAAAAATACTTTTAAAACTACATTGTAAATACTTATTTTAATTATTTAGACATGTATTTATATCTCACCTTATCAAAACATATTAATTTCAGCTTTCCACAAATATTAATTCTTGGTGGGTTAATGCAGAAGATCTTTTGCTTTCTTAGACGATTTTGAGCAATACTAATAGAAACAGTCATAGCAGCAGGGAGGGCTGGAGGAACTACAATTGTGATGATATCTAAAGCCCGAACAATTGTTTGACCTATAGGAGACTGAAAAAAAAGTTAAGCATAAGTAAAAATTAACACACAACACTCGATAACTACCTATTACTATTTTGAATTTATGACCTAATTATTTATACATATTTTATATTAATTTATATCAAAATATAAATTTTCTTAAGATGTTTTAAAATAAAAGTGATGTCATCCAATTTGATTATACAAGAGAAAATACAAAAAGAAATGTATTTTAACATTGACTTATTTCCTACCTAAACAAACAAATAAATGTGACTAAAACTAATTTTTTTTTTTAAATGAGCGATTTAAAGAAATGAAAATAGCTATACAGTTAGCCATTTTGGTAAAAAATTTAGTGAAAGTATGCTTTTCACATTGTTACTGATATAATAAAAAGACTTTAAATAAAGATACAAATAATGTCATAATAAGTACTCGTAAACAAATTTCATAACTTAATTTTGAAATTGTTTAAGTCCAAGGAAAACTTAAAATGGAAATAACTTAAAATGGAAAAACAATTCTGCAATGTGGAAAAACAATTCCGCAATGTGGAAAAACAATTCATAAAAATAATGAACAACAAACAAACAAGGTTTTAAAAATAAATTTAGTGATTATTTTTTTAAGAAAAGAAGTATTTATTTTTTGCTAAAATACTTTTATACTTTCAGCTCAATTAAAATTGTATATATTTTATAATTGTATAAGTTAAACAATTTCCTTTAAATTCTAGAACATAAGGCACTACTGGAAGATATGACTTAGTCTAACAAAGTTGGAAAATGGATTTTTTTTATAAAAAATCTTTATTAAGAAACAACAAGATGCAAGTTTGCACCTAATTTAGCATAGTATCATACTCTTAATAGTATCAAAGTACACTCTTAAGAATATCAAAGATACTAGTAAGAGTAATTACATACATTTTTATTGTATTATACTAAGTAGCCAGACCTTTTATGAATGACAAGATGAAGTGGGAGAAGAAACCCTATAAATAGTTAAATTAAAAAATTTTGAAACTATTAATAGTTTCCGAATTTTTTTTTAACAATTGTTATAATAAAAAAAACATTCGTATGGAAACTAACAAAATAACAACCTTCACAAAAAAGAAAAAAAATTAGAATTTTAAAATTCAGGATACCTTGGAAAACTAGTTCCTTTGAACGCATCAGAAATTAGGCATGGTAATGAAATTCTCAATGATAGAATTTCATTACCATGCCTAGTCTAACTAACTCTAATTAAGGCAAGTCGATTTCTACTTCCCTAAAAAATATTTATGCTGTAATCCTTTTCAAAACTGTTTGGTGCGTAATAAAAAATTTAAAAATAATTTCAGAAAAAAACTAGAGTTACACAATTATTCAATACCAGTGATATTAAAAATCATTGAAAATTAATTTTATAAATGAATAAAACTTTTATCAATTCAAATAACTGTATGAATAAAAAATTTCATAATCTTAATTAACACCAAAAAAAGGGAAAAATATTGATTAAAAAGTAAAAAAAATCAAATTTCTAAATGACAGGTTTGAAAATAAATTTCATAAAGATTCTTACATGTCTGAGAATGTAGCAATAAATTGAATATGCCATTCCAAATGCAGATATGAAAAACAGCAAAGCAACAAACTGGTAGGCATCTTTATAGAATTTAAAGCCTACTGGTTTGGAAAACAGTATAGATCTCACCAATTCTCCTTTAGAAGTTGAAAAACCTACAAATTAATGAAAAATAAGCACATTAATTTATATTTAAAAAAAAATACTTCCCATTTGATACTAAAAAGAATAAATCAAAATATTAACAAGTCATCTGTTAGTAATTAAAATTAAATAATAATTTTATATTCTTAATAGCAATAATTTTAATGTGATTCATACTGAAAATCAGAAAACAGTAGTTAAGATAAGAGTAATATAGCAAATAAAAATTGCATGCTTAGGGAGAAAAATTAAATGTGATATTTTCAATTCATCAATTTAGTTTATTTCAATTTATTAATTTAGTTTATAATTTTGTGTCTTTAACTAGGAGCTCCATGTAATTTCAAAAATAAAACCAAATTTAATCCCTAATTAAAGCAGTTCCTATTGTTTAATATCTACATCACTCTTGCCTACATCATACTGGAATAATACATGGACAACAAAAAAGAACATTCAAACAAAAAAGAGCATTCAACAACCTCTTCAACGAATGGTAATCATCAACTTCCTTCAACAAATAATTTTTTTTGATACCCATAATATGCAAAAAGTGGTTTATTTTAAAATGCTTCATTACACTTATCAGGGCTTCAAGTGGCAAAACATGGTTTTGGAGCATCTTTGGAGCAACAAAAAAGCAATTTTGGAGCAGCAAAACAAAGATTTGGAGCATATTTAATAAATAGAATTAAAAGAAGAATTTAATAACAAGAATTTTTAATTTTGTCCATTAANGGAATCGCCCGTATAGACAAATTTAAACATATGAGCTATAACTAAAATATTTACCAGTTCTAGTAACAACAGCTAGAACTCTGTTGTTTTCATAGTATCTTGTCTGTATAATTTCTGTACCACAGAAAAGAGTATGGCGTTTGTGAACAGTGGGACAGTAAATTTCATCATCAAGCTTAAGCAGTGGTGTTTTTGTCTCAGGAACACTTTCACCTACAAGAAATATACAAATATAGTAGAGATTAAGACTATTTTGTGAAATTCTAAGGAAAAATTAAAGTATCAAATAGACACAGCAAATTTCAGTTCTAATAAAAAATATAGAAAGGTACAAAAGAAAATGGAAATTTGTAAAACTCTTTATCTTTTAAAAAATTTTATTTTATTTTCTTAGAGAAAAATCATTGATATTTAATTTATAAAGAAATGTGCATGGCTTTAATGTTCATAATGCAACAGAGATACTCAGTAGAACATCAAAACCAACATGTCTTTAGAGAAACAAAAAGAAAAATAACTCATATTTCTATTACAGGCCTAGAAAAAAAATTTAATCCTTCACATTTAGAAATGTAAAAAAAATAAATAAATAAGAGCAGAAATTTTTTTCAATGAAAATTGAGAGAGAGAAAATTAATGCATGCATACAATCAATCAAAATCCAAATTTTCTACAAAACCCTGTGAAAGTCTTAAAACTGAACATCACAAGGTAACGAATATCATTTTTCTGATAAACATAAAATCGTAAATGTTATTCATTTAAAAAAAAAATAATAAAATAAAATAAGTAAACTATTTTTATAAAAAAAATATTTATACATTAGGAAAAAAATCATGAAATTATAATACATGTTTAATTTTTTTTTTAATTCTAGTAAATTTTAAATAAGTAATTTAATATACTATATTTCTTTACCAGTTAACATGCTTTCATTAACAATACAATTTCCAGCAATTAGTACAGCATCACAAGCCATTAAGCAACCATGAGGAGGTATAGCTATAACATCTCCAGGTACTAAATCTGCCGCTGGCACATCCTCAAAAACTATAATAAAAAAAAATAGATTTAAACATTTTCTCTTGGATTAAAATAAGGCAATAAGAATCATCATTTCCCTTTGGCAAGTATTTTTCACTAACTTTAAATACACAGAAATAGCAAGCACAGTAATAGAGTAGCGTTTTGAATTCTTACAAAACCCAGCAAGCTGAAACAAACAAAATTTTCTTTTCCATTTTCTTTTAATAACATTCAAGATTGAATTGTCTAAAAAATGCTCATGATTAAATTAACTTCCATGCATTTTCAACTTTTTTAAATTTTAGTCCGTATTTATTTTATTAAAATTAAAATTTCCAACAAAAAAAAATGAAACCAAGATTTTTTTTAAAGTAAATTTAAAAAAAAAATTTTTTTAGGAAAAGAATCCTTACCTTTGGCTACAGAAATAAATAGTTTTACTTAGAAAAGTTTTAGAATAGTGAAAAACAGATTTTAAAGATAAAACTCATAACTCAAAAATGTAAAATATTAATAAAAATAAAATTATCCGTGACCCTCCAAACTTTGAGAAATTTCTTGCTAATATAAAAAAAATATTTACCTTCTGCTACTGAAATAGAAAGATTTAATTATAAAAGTTTTAGAACAGTCAAAAACAGATTTAAAAGATAAAACTCCTAACTCAAAAATTTAAAGCATTAATAAAAAATAATAAAACTATCCTTGTTCTTGAAAATTTTCTTGCTCTTCCACACAATTTTTTCTATTTAATAACACTGATTCTATATCGCATTCTGCTGATGTCATGTAATATCGCTTAAGATGTCATCACGGGAAAAGAATACAATGACTCCCATATGGGCAGGTCGAATAGGAGTGTGAAAGTGGGAGAGGTAAGGTTGAAGAGTGAAAAAAAAAAGCTGAGATTCATGCAGAAAACCCCCTGGAAAAAAATCTGGCAGTTTTGAGTTTAGCCATCGGCTGGAGCATAACTCGAGAGATTTTCGGATCAATTCGAGGAGGGGGGCAGAAGAAAAACACAAAATTCGGGAAAGTTTGCAGGTCAATGAACTAAGGACTAGTACAAATGCAAAAGAGAAAACGAAATTGTGTCCTAGCTTAGCTAATGCTTAATTTCAATTTGAAAAAAATCTCAATGTAAATTAAATGTAATTAGCAAAGTCCTGGAGAACCGCTCAGGCATTCAGAAAACTATTTTCTCATATTTTTAGCATCAAAGTTTTTAAAATAGGAAACATAGCAAATAAAGACTGCAATAAAATATTTTATATTTAAATTAATACTTTATTACTGAGCCAATCAACATACCTCCTGTATTTCTTCTTACAGTCACTTCAACCGAATTTGATTTTGCAACCATATTTCGCAAGATTTTTTGTTGCTAACAAAAAAAAAGTCACAATTACTGTTGGAAGTTTGAGCTAGATAAACAAAGATAGAAATGTTCTTGAACTCAAGAAATGCATGGCTAAAAATAGAGATAATTACTATTTAAATTGTGGAACAAACCTAAAAATATAACTAAAAGGTCATAGAAATAAGCTCATAAAAAAATTTCAAACATTACTTCCTGTAAATGATTTGATACAATAAATAATATTTTTTTTCTAAATATAATAATGCATCAGACTTTTAATAAAAGAGAAAAAAATATAACTAAAAGGCCTACCCTAAAAATATAACTAAACAAACCTAAAAATATACCTAAAAGGTGATAGAAATAAGCTCATAAAAAATTTCAAACATTACTTCCTGTAAATGATTTGATACAAAAAAATTTTTTCTTCAAAATATAATAATGCATCAGACATTTAATAAAAGAGAGAAAAAACTTATTTTGTTATGCTTGAAAAATGATAAAATTATTTTACTATTAATTACAAATGTAGAAATGTAAAAACTAAGTAAATAATTTGAATAAGAGTTTTTCAAAATTATTATTTTTAAAACCATTTACCCATTATAAAATTAATCCATAGATATTTACTCAATTTTCTTTAGAATAAAAAAACAAATAAAAAATTTTTTTAAAGTGCCAGAAACAAAACTTTTGAAATTAAAAACAGATGCATTTAAGAAATTTTTTAACTAAATAATCAATGAAACAGTAAAAACAGCACAACTCGTTTAACAAAACAGCAAATAGTGCGAATATTTTAATAACCTGCTTAATTTGCATAATAGGCAAAATGTTATTTAGATACAGACATTAAAGCTTATAACTGACCTCTAACATGCGTTTAATGCTATTTGTTCACTTAATATTCTGTCAAAAATAGTTAAAAGTTAAAAAAAACACACATTTTACACTCAAATTTCATAGGATTATTTACAGGTAACAAAAACTTTAATGCTTTAAGCTACTCTGTGACAACTGAAGTAGTTGAAAAGAAATGCACACTGAATAGTACCTACTTTTTTAGTTTCTCGAAGGGTGAGAATTATGGATGTCAATGAAATAATGAGAATGCAACTTGCATATATCCTATAGTTGTCAATTAACCACAAAATTATACTGAAAATTTGAAATATATAGAAAGGATTTAACACCTAAAACACAAAAGAACAAAATTAAGTATATGAATATTGAACACTTTTAAAATATAGGTAAAATAAATAAAATTGATATGTAAGAAAATGCTTGCAAAATAACAAGACAATAACAAAGAATAAAAGAAAGCATGAATGAGAGGAAAAGAAAGCATTAGAAATACTTATAGCAAAACCTAGGGTACCTCTTCAATAAATAATGTTAAATAGGAGCTGACATCTATGGTAATAGTATTTGGTCCATAAATTTCCCGCCTGCAATCAAAAATAGTAATTACAAAAAAAAAAAATTTAAAAAAACATGATGGTATAATGATGGTACAAAAAGAAACACATTTATATATACATACATTTCTCCTTCTTCAACATCTGAGAATCCAAAGAACCGATCATAAAATTCTGAGCAACGAACTCCATAGTCATAGCCCCTAATAAGAGAGAAATTACACATCAATTGCAGCACATAAAACAAAAATTAGTGATAAGACAGAAAAGTTTCTTAAACTCTGAACGTATTTGTGTGTAGAATGAGTTTGTCACCATTCATTATCTCAACAAAAAATAAATAAAAAATGGTAGCACGAGTGTATTAGTAATTTTTTTTTTATAAAACAAAATAATTCTAATAGCCTTATTCATAAATAATTATTAATACTTTGATCTGAAGACTTCACATAGTATTTCTTTGTAGCTAAAGTGCCATGTAACATAAGAAAATATCTACTTAATTTAAAATTACATGTACATCAAAAAATCAAGACATTTATATACATATTAGAATATTTTCTCAATACCAAATCAAACTATAAAGAAAAGCTACTTTGTCTGAAGTTTGATACCACTAATGTTTATAGAATCTATTCTATATTTTCTAACTGAAATCTATTTAATGACTTACAAAACTATATCTTATCTTCACAACTCTGGAATCTTTATAATATCAGTTAGGTATGGTTTCTATATTTTTTACTTATTTCACTTCAAAATTATCCTTTAAGACAAAAAAAAAAAAAAAAAANAAAAAAAAAAAAAAAAAAAAAAAAAAAAAAAAAAAAAAAAAAAAAAAAAAAATGAACAGATATATTTTGTACAGAAAAAATTTCATTATTTCTCTATGTACTTTCACATTAGACTCAAGTGTTGCTAACTTAGGGAAATGAAAAAGATTTTGTTCACCAAATAAAACAAATATTAGTATAAATAATAACATCTATATATTAACAATGCAACATTTAAAGCAAATGAAAAACTAAAATATTTATACTTTAGTCATTCAGTACCACAGCTGCACTAAGATTGAAAAATTTAATTTCTTAGAAGAAAAAAAAAGTTTTAATCAAGTTCAAACTCTTACCTTAACCGTTTAAAACACAAGTTTTTGCTATCCCACACATATTTCACACAATTATGAATGAAGTAACGATATGAAATGGCCTGAAATTAAAGGAGAGATTTTATTTACCAACAGGAAAAAAAAAAAAAACAGTGTGTTAAAGTTAGTCTAAGAGAAAAATAACTTATAAGAGTATCGAAATTCCAAACTTTTTCTACATAAAGTTTTAGAAACCTTAAAAATTTCTGGTTGCAAGAAAACAAAAAGGACTTATTGAACAATGAGCAGCCATTCCTTCATTAACTACTTAACAATAAACACAGCTAATTAAGTTTATAAACAGATATTACACATTAAAAAAATTAACTTAGATAATCGCAAAACCTCTTTAACACTCTGACGACTGAGCGTATTGCACCTGAGTGAAGCTAGTCTTTACACATTTTTTAACAGCTAGAACTAATTATTGCCAAACAGGGAAATCTATTAAAAGATAAGCTGAAGCAATGACAAAAATAACTATTAAAAACAATTCGTTAAGAAAATAGAATAATCTACAATTATAAAATCTAATACATAAAATGAGCAGATACCAAGCATATAATATTTTTGAAAAGAAAAATGGATTAAACATTCAATATACATAAACATATTAAAGATATTTATAAAAAATTTAAGGTAACATATCAAATTAAGGGGGGGATACGTACCGGAGAATAATTGAAGTTCATTGAATTTTCATGATGATTGTTTACAGATGATAATGATCTGGAATATGCAAGCTCTGGAGGTAGTGTAAATGTCACAGGCTGTACAATAACATTTATTACTGACACACTACCGTGGAGATCCTTAAAAAAAAATTTAAAAAAAGCAGATATTAGGCTTTATTCTTCTATACATTTTTAGACACAGAATAATAAATATTATGAAAATAAATGCACTCAGAATGGCAAAAATCATGATTTTTTTTTTTAATTTTTAACATTTACAGATCTAAGCTCTGATAAAATGCTTAATATTATTTAAAAGCAAAACTATAATTAAAATACTTTACATTTTGAACTAAAATTGTTAAAATTACAATATAATTGATACAAATTAATCACTAAAGAAGTAAAATCATAGTTATTTTTGTTCAAGCTCATTCAGAAGCTTTTGTTATAACAACGACCCACTTTGTCAGTTACCTACAGCTAATAAAAAACTATAATTTAAAATTTTCACATCATTTTTATCCACTTTTAGTTTGGCTTTTCTTCAATTAATCCATTTTAACATCAAATATTAATTAATATTCATTCATGTTGCATTATTTCTCTGTATAACTGTTTCAATATAAATGGAATGAATCTTCAAAAAAAAATTTACATACTTTGTTTTATATGTAAGAGTATGTTTTATTAATAATATTTAGCTTAAAGCAATGATTTCTAAAAAAAATAAAAATTAGCTGATTTAGATCATTGGTTTTTTTTAAAAACAAAATCAAGTGATATAAATTACAGCAATCCTGATTAGAATTTTAGTTAAGTGATTAGAAATCCTTACATTTTAATGACATTTGTTTATATTTCAAATTTAAAAAAATAAACTAATGATAACAAGTTTCAAAATAAATATTGATAATGTACAGATTGATTAGAATGTTATCAACTTTTATAATCAACTTATCGTAATTTATAATCTTATCATTATAATCTAATGTTTATTTTATTCAACTTCCTTTGCTAATACGTCTTTTTAGCTGCTTAAACAGTAAAGCTGTAATGTTACTGTTTTATTACATAAATAAATTGCTCAAAATAATTAATCTGAAAATGAAACCATGCACTAAATCACAATTATACAAACTTCATATTTTTAATGGACAAGTTATTTCATGAAGTAAAGTTAAGCATCTTTTTCGAAGGCTTGGATGAAATTATGCTTTTTTTGTGAAAAATGTTATTTTCATAACTGATGTAAGTTTGCAACAGTTACTCATGACCATTTGGTCAAGTTAAGCCTATCTTTGGCCAGCACCCTCTATCTTTATTCTGAAAATGGAGCAAAACGTCAATATGGAGAAAAGCAACAGTTTTGGAGAAAAAAAGCACTAATTTTTTTTTCATGTTTAGAAACTTACTCCAATGCTCCATAATTTGGGCTCATAAAAATTGGCAAAAAATGGGAATAATACATCGATTTAAATAATTTCTATCTAGGAGGGGAAATTTCACCAAATTGGCAATTTTTAAAGTTAATTTTCAAAATATTTTAGTTATTTATCTGTTCTAAAGCTCAAACAATTCTTAACAGTAAGATGGCCTATACAGTTTAAATTCAGTGCTTCAAGTATAAGCTGGGGCCTGTCCAGACATTTTGTGAAAGGTCCATTTTTGAAAAATTGTGAAAAAATTACTCGAGTATTTGTGAATATAAAATAAACGTTAAGTTACATTCTTTCAACCAGGGTCCTGCTTTTGTGAATTTGTGCAAATAGGGTCCTGTTATTGCAAAAAACTTTTTCAAGGAGTTTTTAAAGTGTAAAGACATACAAGATTATGCTCAACAATGTAAAATTAGAATTAAAAAAAATTAAATTTTAAAAAGTAAACAGCAATTGTTGCTACAAAATTAGAGATGCAACATACAAATATTTGATATTTAGCCTATGCTGCTGAATGCAGAATATTCATTTCGGATGAATAAAGGAAGAAGCGCCTGACGAAGTCAAAACTTAGTTTGTTTACTTTCCTCTCCCCCCCTTTCTGGGAAGGGTTTATTCGATTAACAAAACAATAATGAAAATAAACAAATTTGTGAAGAGTCCAATTAAAAGATAAATTATTTTGTGAAGGGTCCGCTAACGGACCCAAATTTCTTCTAAACAGACTCCTGATAAAGCATTAAAACTGTGGATTATTTTTATTTTTCCTTGTCAAAAGAGCTTCGAAAAACTTAATCAGTGAAATTTTAAAAGTAGTAATAATTAAAAAATGAAGAAAAACAAAAAAATACCAACTTCCTTAAAAATGTGTTGCAAGCAAGAACTAAATTTAAATGAGGATAGATCATACTTAGTGCTACGTATGAATAAGCAGAACAACATAAAAAAAATTCTTATTCACATTGTTTTGCTTTATTCCAAAATTAAATTGTTGCACACTAAAATCAAACAATTTATACAAATCATTATCATAAAAAGGAAATTACAAAATAAAGAATTTAGTATTGTAACATACTTTTAAAATAAGTACATTAGCGGATGAAACACTGCATGGCCTGCAAATTAATTTTACCCTCCAGTTAGGATACCATTTAACCAGCAGAAGCAATATGCCTGCTGTGAGGAAACAAAATGTATGGTATATACATCTTCGACATGGGCTTTCCAAATATCCATGAGCCTCCTGTAAATTAAGAATTAACGTGATTATTACTCGAATCGTCAATAAATTTCAATGTTTTATATACTAATTTGACAACTTAAAAATAACAAACAGAGATAACTTTAAAAACTTTTCTCAATTTAATAAACTATTCAATTATTAATCATAAATTAAAATAACAGCCACAATAAACCACCTTTGCATTTAAAATGTGTATTGTCCAAAAAATATGCATCTAAAGTAAAAAATAATAAAACTAAAGAATAATAAAATTTTTGCAAATTCCATAAATTAATTAAGACTACCAAAGTAAAGGTTATAGATATAGAAAACTACAGTAAATTATAGTATGATAAATATGAATAACTACAGCATGATAATTATTCTTTCCCTTCACCTTCCAATGAAAAGCCTGAAAACTTCCAAAGAAAAAAAAATATGCTAACAAATTAGTTATCTTTCATTTTACTACTAATAAAATTATAATAAAATAACAAACGGGATAAACAACAAAATAATTACGCTTTATTTTCCTAGTATTTAAATGCACAGAAAACAAATTTCCATCCTAGTTTATTGATAGAGATGCTGCGCTTGGGACTGAAATTGCGGCCGCAGCATACAATAGACAAGTTAATCAGTTAAATGCTGAGACAAAATCTGTAACATATCCAAAGCCATATTGATTTTAAAAAAGTTTTTTTATTTTAATAATTCTTAAATACTTGAATCTAATTTCAAAATTTGTATCCCTCAATAACTACCATTTTAGACTTTTCATAAGCGTAAAGTACATGTATGGATATATTATGAAAGAATGTTTATTTTTATAATTGTAAATTTAATTAAAGCTACAATTGAATAAATGCATAACAGTTTTAATGAATATTAAGAATTTAGGAGCTTTTTAGTAATTAAATTATTATGTTATTAAATTATTATTATTATTATGACAACTACTGTTAACTAGACTGAATTTAGTACTTTGAAAAATTGTTTCATAATACAATTATGTGACAATCATAACAGCTGTAACATTAGTAGCTGCAACATTATTAACAACTGAACTTCAGTGTCCTTTAAGACATAAGTAAATAATAATTAAATAATTTCGCTTTTATCAAAAAGGTATGCTAATTTTTAAGAAAAAAAAGTTTAAGGTCATCCTTAAAGTTTACACCAGAAAAGAAAACTTAGTAGTTCAATAGGACCACCTAGGTATTCATTTAATGGTTCAAAAACTTAATATGGTAGACAAACTCGAGAAAAATTACATAATTCATGTCATGGTACACATCAAAAATTATTAATTGCCATCTATAACACTCTAAAACTAATTAAGTTCATTACCCCATAATGATTGAAGATTAATATTTATTAAAATTAAGAGAAAAAAAGATAAAATATTAGCGAACAGATATAACATAGAGATTAAAATGCTGAGACCAAATAAATAAATGAGGAAAACAGAGAAAATGAGAACAAAATATAATATTAAAAATAAATTATCTAAAAATTATAAAATTTTAAATACTGTCGATTCTAAAAGAGCAAAAAATATTTTATTGATGAAAAATTATATTGTCAGTACATGAATGCAAAGTACTCAAATTAATTAAATTGCATGTAAAGTTTAAATTTTTAATACGTAAATTTAAAATTTTTTAAACCATTTGAACTTCACCCGTATGAATTTCGTAACACTCGTAAAACAATAAAATTAGTACAAGAAATTTTTTTAATGTAAAGAATTCGATACAAAAAGCTACTTTTCATAAATATTTCGTAAATTCCAAATGTATTTAAAAGCGACAAATTTGTCGGACATTGATTTGATTTTAGAGACATTTGTAGAAAATTTGGCTAACACCAGTACGTTTGTAAAACATCTAGCGTAGCAACTAGTCTTTTTCCATTTTTATATTTATTTTTTGGGAATTTAGTTATTTTAGAAGTCAAAGCCCACAATGATATTAATCAAAGCTTTAATTTATGATAATTTAACACACTGAAATATTTGAATTTTTTTTCCTTACCAACTGATCATCAGTTCCCTCTTCAATAATAACAACTTGTGGTTGATCTCCTTTAGCAAGGAGCAAATATGGCATCTTCAGATTCTCTGAAAAGAGAAAAATATACAATATTAAGATAATGATAAATGACAACATTGAGCATACAGTTGACAAAAAAAGTATTAGCACACTAAGCTAATTTAAAATTCTTGCAAGATAAAATAACCAAACTAATCCAAACTAGGATTTTCTTTACCTTTATTATAGTAAAAACAAAAGTAAGTGAAAATAAAAAGCACACTTGCTTTTACAGAATTTAAAACAAAAAAACATTATTATATTTTTGCAAAAAAAGTATTAGCACACTTAGTGAAATAAATAAAAACATTTTTCATTATCGGTGATTTGCTTTTTAATATCTTGTATGCAATCCATTGGCCTTAATGACTGCTTCTAATCTTCGTGGCATAGATTCTACTAACTTTTTGGTAATATCTGAGGAAATATTATTCCAGGAATGAATCAATGTAGATTCTAAAGAATCTCTTCCCGTAATGTGGTTATTCCTTACTTCTTGATCTAGATGGTGCCAAAGATGTTCGATCGGGTTCAGATCAGGAGATTGGGGGAGAGTGCGTAGCCTTCTTGGTGCATTATAAAGCAATCATTCCCTTGTTACATTCGCGGAATGTCTAGGATCATTATCTTGCTGGAATATATAGGTGTTTTGGAGGCCTAATTTTCTAGCACTGCTTTTCAAGTTACGGTGCAAAACCTCTATATACGATAAAGCTGTCACCCTACAATTAATAACTTCCAAATTTCCAACCCCATTATGCACCATACAGCCCCAAACCATCACATTTCCCCCACCATACTTAATTGTTGACAAGATATTTTTCTGATCAAGAGCAGTACCTTTTTTCCTCCAAACAGTTAAAATGCTTTTTGGCCGAAATATTTCAAACTTACTCTCATCAGAAAAAATAACTTGCTTCCAAAACTCCATTGGCTTACTTCGATAGGTCAGAGCAAACTCAAGTCTCTTTTTCCTATTAACCTCGCTAATAAAAGGTTTCTTCCTTGGCCTCCTACCCCGAAGACCACTCATATGGAGAACATTTCTAATAGTTTGTGGCGTCACTGACTTGCCAGAAGTTGACGCAAAGTCGTTGGCTAAATTTCGAGCACTTTGAATTGGATTTCTTAGGGCCATTTTAACAACATGCCTCCTTTCCCTGTCATTTACTTTGATTGGGCGACCAGATTGGGGTTTATTTTTCGTGGATCCTGTTTCTGCCACTTTTTTAGTAATGGAACGAACTGTTGAAAAGCTCAATTTTAACTTTTTTCCAATATCCCGCTAACTTTTTCCTACTTCACGGAGACATATTATCTTTTCTCGCGTGGAGCCTGGAATTTCACACTTCTTCGGACACATACTTAATGAATAGAGAAATTCAAAATAACACTGAACGTAACTTAATACTCTAGTCTTAGTACAAGTTATGAATCGGTTTCAGTAAGTGAATATAAGGTTTTATTCTTCTTTTATCTGTAGTGGTAGTAATGCAATTCGAGTGTGCCAATATTTTTCTTGTAAAATAAAATGGAAATATTTTGTTAACAATGATGGGAATTTTATAATTTGTGATTTAGTTTTCATTTGAAAATTGAGTGTAATATAGTTTAATTGGTAAAGTTAGAACTTTTCATTGCGTAAATATTTGAAACTATATTTATGTGCCAATACTTTTTTTACCGACTGTATGTACAACAATGACAACATGTTAAGAAATAAAAAATATAAGTACAAAATGGCAATAAATACTATTACACAAGATACCTCAAATCTCTTATTTCAAAACCTATTGATTTCCTTAATAATGTAGAAAATATAAGGTATATTAATATTTTTCAGTAAGAAAGAAGCAAAAAATTGTTTCCGAATTTTACATAACTTACAAACTAGCCATTTCCGAATATAATGTCACATTTAGTGCTACAAATAATTATAAATAAAATAAGATGTTTCTCTGAAGAAAAAAAATTCATCCCAAAACAATATTTTGAAAGTGACAAAGATATAAAGCTAATTTTTACCACATTGAAAAAAAAAAATGTGATTTTGATTTATCAAGAATTTTAATTTACCTCGATAATTGTATTTAAACTGTTTACAAAATTACATGTTGAACCATGTAAGAAAAATGCTCTATATTTTAACACATTCTGTTAAGTAACGAGTTTCCATATGTTTACATCAAGAATAAAACTGGTTTAACAGAAATTATAAAAAAGTAACATAATTTAATGATTTCAAATTAACTGTAAAAACAAGTTAATGTTTAATTGTGGAAAGGATCTCAAACGTCATATTTGTGAAATGATTTGAATTATTAGACTAAAATATATAAACGCATAACTCATAGAAATTTTGACAGAACTTACCTCAATGTTTGGAATGTGATAGAAAATTAACGGGGTAGTTAAATTTTACCTTCGATTACATTAAAACTCGAGATAAATGAGTTAACATAAAAATGCGCTAACAACATTTGAAAGCACAGTATTTGAAAAGCTTTTAATACACCTTCTTACCATTGGACATTTAAAAACAACTAAACTCAATTATGGATAATTTACCTTCGATTAAATTAAACCTGGAGATAAACGAATTCATAGGATAAAAATACAAAATCAACATTTGAAAGCTCGGTCAAAAAAAATTTTAAAAAGATTTTTTAACTTAATACCATTGAATATTCGGAAACAACTAAACTTAGCATCAAAGAATTCTACCTAACTGGTAAAAATCGTTTGAAACTGAGAATATTCGGAATACAGAGAATGATTAATGTGTTTTCAACAAACATATTTCATCTGTTTCATGAAAAGCAGAATGAAAAGTAATATGATGCAGCGGAAAGACAGTTAACAACAAGGAAGGAAACCGTAGCGGCAATAGCGTAAACGTCAATACCAAAAACCGAGCAAGTGAAATGTAAACAGATATTTTTATAGCGATCTATAAAGGGAGAATAAAGACGCAAAACCGTTTGACCTTGAAAGAAAATAATGGTTATAAAAACTAAAATGATTAGGTAAACTACATAAAAATAATTATTTTAAAAGTACTCAATAAAGAAAATTTAGAATATTTGAACTATTTTTCTCGTAACTCTTCAATGTGAGATTTTAAGCTAATATATTTACAAAAAAGTAGTAAAATGCAACTTTTTTTCATTAAAAGCGCATGAAAATGTTTTGAAACGACATTTCGTGTGATTAAAAATATCAAAGTTGAGATTAAAAATATGTATGTTGCATGCAACTAAAGTAAGGCCATACAGATTAACACACATACAGGGTACAAAAAAAAAAAGACTTATTAAACAACAATTTGAAACACAAATCAAAAGCATAATTTCTTTGTTGATTGGACTAATTAATTAAATTATCAAATACGCCACGAAAACTATGAATGACTGCAACATATATTGTATAGCAATGCAGAAAATATGCAATTACTTTAGTAAAATGTAATTTACAAAGTGCATGAGTAAACAAATGGATCTTTTAATAAATAATTTCGAAATAAGAACTTTTGAAAGAAAATTTTATAATATTTTCCATAAGTTTAAAAAAGACATATATATACAGAACGCAAGAGTTCAAGTCGTTTTAATATACCTAAACTACTGATTCTAAATTTTTTATTCAAAATGTTACCCTGTCATTAGAAACAGTAACAAACAAACTTCGCCAATTCCCTCGCATCGCATACGTTTTTAAAGAAAAGCAAACAGTTTTTCTTTCTTGTTTGTTAAACTCTGAGATCATTTTGTGTAATAATGATAATCGTTTGGTCTCAAACATTTTTTAATATTTAGTTAGTAAATTACATACCCGTCTTAATTCATATTCTATAAAATTAAACCTATTCAATTAAAATAAGCGTTAAAACGTTAAAGCGTCAATTAAAATAAGAGTTTATTAATTTAATAGAATGGATACGCCGATGAAAGTTTAAAACTTACTAATGTAATAAAAAACATATTCGTGATGTTCCATATTTTTGATTTAAAAGAAACCCCTTTATTCCTTAAAATTGTGAAAATGCATTTACACATTCGTTATAAATTTTTCTTACTCTGCAAGATCATCAAAAAGCCACTGATTTGAAAGATAGACAAAGAAAAAAAAAGAATATGTATGAGTAAAAAAAAAAGAACTAACTGTATGCAATCAAATATAACGATACTTCCGAAGTTTTCACATTATCTAAGTGATATTCAGTCAGTCATGACGAAAACTGATTTCATCATATTTTTGGATAGAAAAAAAAAAACTTTCATAACTTTTTAGTAGAGCATTAAATAAAACTTAGCAAAAAAGGCTTGCATTATTGATTTTCTTTTTTTTCATACTCCAGTTTCTCGTTTTAAAGAAATTTCATTTCAGCAAAATCGAAATGTGAACGTATTTGCTGAAAGGCTTTGCCAAAAGAACAAAAACAATTTTAAAAATTTTTAAGTCTGTTTACTTCAGAAACGTAATGAAATAATAATATTAAATCATGTGTGTAAAAAGAAAGTTAATAAAGATTATTAGATAATTAGCGACTTGCCACAATAGAATATGAAAAAAAAAAATGTTTCGAAAGATTTTACGGTGCAATAAATCTTTCACAAAAATCTTATACAATTTATTGCTTTTGATTCTAATGTTATACACAATTCTTTCAAATAGACAGTTTAAGAATACGGCATGCCGTTAGTACATCAATTAATTAAATATCCAGTAGGCACATAAAAATTTTAAACTTTGTTTTTTAAAATGACTGAAAAAAAAATAGTTCATAGAAATACGGTAAAAAAAAAGCTCAAAAATCGTCAAAACCCGGACATCAAAAAAAAAGCAAAAGGTTCTACCCTAGGTCAAATTTTTCACTTCTGAGAGAAAAATGATTTTAAAAAAACAGTTGACAGATTAACTTTCTTTCTCAACACAAATAAGAGTTTAAAAAAAAACTCAGAAAAACGCATAAAGTATTTAAGTAAATCAAACATTTTTACTTCATGTCGTACCATCATTATTATTAGTAGTAGTACCGGAAAATAGGAATTTTCCTATTCTATCTGAATTTTTTCTATTGGAAAAAATTTCAAAACACAAAATATTAAATTTTATGTTGACTGAATAACTTTCTTTTTACACACCGATAAGTTAAAAAAAAAAAAAAAAAAATCGAAAAACGTAGCTTAAACACAAACAAAATTCTTACTTGCGAATAAACTTAACAAATATCTAGAGAGAGAGAATCAATTTTAGGTTCTAAGGTAGGAAGTTAAGTCTCAGCATTTTTCTTCGAAATTAATTCCATTAAGACGGGAATATGGAAAGAATTCTTACAATAACGAAAATGAACTTAACACATCGAAATCGAGTCAAAGACTTCAAGCATTTCAATACAGACAAAAAATACATATTTTTATTTTATTACGAAATACCGTCTGTTGCTAAAAGAAAAAAAATATTGTATTTTCGATAAAAAGGATAAAGTCAGTCATGAGAAAAACTTACTTAAGACGCCATCGAGTAGTATCCAAAAATTCTTAAAGGAATATAAAAATAGACAGAGATAAACAGTAATAACAGAATTAAAATAAATGGAATTACCACAAGGTTTCATGTTTAACATCTTTTTGTATTATCGTTATGTAACGCATTTTTTACATTAGCCTGCTATCTTATTTAACAGTCAGAGCATAAATTATATTTATTTAAGATGGAATGATGAAGAAAAAAAAAGAATGAAACGTGAAAGTCATCCGAATTATAACATGTCTACAAGACTTTGCCTTGATTGTCAGGTCTATATTTAGAAAGCCACAATAAATGAAAATTCAAAAAAACTTCTTTTAGGACAAAGAAGAAACCTCGTGATAAGTCATTAAAAAAAAAAAGAATGAATATTTAAAATTTAACAAAAGTGAGAAACAGGGACAGGAAGTCACTATTTCAGTGGGAAAAAAGACCACTCGGAAGAAAGTGTTTCGGAAGAAAGCAAGAAATTGAAACCTTTTTTAAAGAAATTTTAAACATTGAAACCACTTTTTTAAAAAGTGTGTAATTATTGCAAAGTAATTTTAAGAAATTTTCGGAAATGCTAAAAGACCTCGATTGTCCGAAGCAAATGAGGCCAGACTGTCATTGAAAAAAACGAAATATTCTGATTATAGATGTAACCTTGTTTTTTAATATAGATTTTTGTTAATAAACTCTGAAAATCGAGGGGCTTTTTTTTATGTAATAGTGTGACATACTGTTTAAATTTAATATTAATATGATAATTTAATATGCCATTCAGTTAAATAGGTATGAATATATTTTGAAATTAACTAGCACTTTTGCTCTAGATAGCAGTACTCCTCTAGTATACATAAATATATTTTTTAAATAAAAAAATAAACCACTTTTGAATAAGCAACATCTCATTTAGAATCGTTAGCGGATCTTACAGATTTTCGAATTCATTTCAACGAAATCACCTTTGCACGCATTTTCTCCAGTCTATTCATTCTCTACGATATTAAATTTTTCTTGCACAAATATCATACCAGGCTTCTTTTTAGTCATGAAGCCATGATTGTAAACACGTAAATAAAAAAACTGCACTAGTAATAATTAGAAATAAACACATAAAACAACGAAAATTACAACCTTCAGACCTCTTTATTAAATTAAATTCGAATACTAGTTACTTTTAACATTGTTTAAACATCAAAATCTACTATAAGTTATAACAACGGTATATGATACGTCTGATCCATTAGGGATGTAACAAATTTATATCGGGTAATTTTTATTAAATATACCTTCTTCGAAAGAAAGAAGAAAAAAAAGATTAAAGATTTTCTAAAGCAAACAACTAAAGCAATTGAGGTTAAATTTGCATTAAAAATTGCGAAAATGCTATTAAAATTTTTAAACATAATAGAATTGTTTATTTCGTGCTTTAACTGAAATAAAAGAGAGGCATTTATCGTCACTAGAACTGAGCGTGGATCAGTATTTTTATTTTAATACAGGTCCTTCTATTAAATGAAACACATGTAAGCAAATAAGTTTCCAAAAGATGAATTATGACATTCGAACGTGACAAATACAGTGACACTATATCATGAAGTATACAGATGTTTGTTCTTATTTTTATTGACAATGAAATTAGCCAAAAAATGTTTCGAAATAAAGATTAATTTGTACAAGAAGAGTCAAGGCACATCAAAGATGTTATGAAAAAAAATAAAAAAAATTCTTTTTTTCTGTTTAAAAATAATTGAATTTAGTAATCATATTTCTGAAAATAAAATGATTTGGGGATATTTCCGTATCGTGATCTGTCGCGCCAACTACAATCGCCAAGGTGCCAAATAGATTTTAAACTTGCAGATTTAAAAATAAAAAAACATGTAGATGTTTGCCCGGGGGTGGCTACGAGTTATACCTTTCGAATTTGGTCCCTTTCTGTGATGTTTTTTTTTTTTTTCGTTCNTGTGTTTTTTTTTTTTTTTTGGTTTCTCGCGAGCCACTGCCCGAAAGTTACCAAGACTTGGCGATTATTCTAATGTCTCACTCCTGGGAGAGTAAATTTTGTCTCAAGGGGGAAAGCTTTTTTTTTTTTTTTTAAACAATAATAATTCAGTACTTTACAAATATCACAATACCGCTTGTAATGAATTCAAAATATGGTACAACTATATCAAACGTTAAATTAAAAAAATAAGCATTTACTTCCATAATAGTAATTACTATAATAGTAATGTAGAACTTAAACTTAACATTATATTCAAACACTAATAGCATTTATTTTCAAAATAGTAATTATTTTTACAATCAACAACATTTAATTTTAATCAAGTAAAATTAATTATAATCAAGACTTACATGGCTTCATATGCAATGTGTAAATAAACAAACAAAAAAAATCGCATTGTACACATGCTGTAGAAATAACACATTAAAAAAAAAAAATTATTAATATAAATACAAGTAAATACCTCTATCAGATAAGAGAGACTGCGTCTCGCCCTCCTCAGACGTAAAACAAAGCATTTTCTTACAGCAAGAAAACACAAAATTATTAATAAGCAATTACGCTAGTATCAAGAACGCCATTTGCACCGGATACAAAATACTTGATACAACACGCTCACACAACGTACTAAATTTCCTGATTGAGTTCTCATCTCTCCCTAAAGTGCAAGTCAGACCAATGGAGAAGCTGCATTTACATGAGCTCACCACAAAACGAATGAATCAGACATATGGAATGAATTGGGTTCAATTTGACAGCACAAAAAGAGTTCTAAATTCTTCCAGAAATCCACTGTAAATGAGTGCACTGCTTAAAACTTGTGCTTCGATAAAAACCAGCTGCCCAGAGAACAAATAATTTATTTTGTGAACTCTGATTGATAATAAACGCAGAGAAATTCAAGATAATACTAACAAGAGAATAATGTTTTTTTATGAAATATTGAAGGTCTGTTATCGAAGAGTGGCAAGGAAGTTAAACACGTCAGATAAATTCGAAGCAGCCATTTGCCGTTTGATTCGTACCGAAAACAAATAAAATGGTCCTTGATCTTGGATTATTGCTAAGAATTATTCTCGGTAATTTGTTTTTTTACACCGCACTTAAAGCATAAGTACTACTTGTGATTTCCGATTAGAAAGGAAAAAAAAAAAGATTGATTTTGTAAACATCACTACCAGACAAATTAAATAATCTGATTTATCTCTTATCGCATGATCATAGTAACATATACTGTAAACCACAACAAGCAAATGCTCTCATAAAAGTGTTAGACACTGGTCAAAACAGATGATTCTTTCATACTAGGGTAAGACTGAATTTTTAATACCATTTTAATTATTTTAGTAAAGTTTGATATTTAAAAATTATCATTCGGATAGTTGTATTCTAAATTGCTAGAGAATATATGGGAAACAACTCACCAATACACCAGTAATAATGTGTAGTAATAAACACTCTTTCTTAAAAGACGGTTTGCAATTATTGATGTAATCAGATCTTACCGAAAATACTATAAAAACTTAAAAAGTTGAAATGCACGAATATTGTTTTACGTACAACAATATTGTTTCTAATATAATTAAAGTTGTATTTTCTTTTATTGGCACAAAACGTTTTTAAAACGTACAATTAAATAAAAATAATTATGAAATTCATTTTAGACATAAGCCTATATTGAAAAAAATATATTAATTTCTAACATGGTGTGCAATTAATGAGGGACATAAAAATTAATATCCAGGAACGGGTCTTATCATTCGAACTTTTTAATATCACATTTTCATACTTATAATTAGTATGAAATGCAATTAATGCAAATATTGAGCATTATGCAATTAATGAGGGACATAAAAATTAATATCCAGGAACGGGTCTTATCATTCGAACTTTTTAATATCACATTTTCATACTTATAATTCGACTCAAACTATAATAAGACTGCTTGTTATCCAATGTTTATATTAATTCCTTATTCCATACATTCGCTTCAATTTTTACTTATATTTTATTCTGGTGAAATAAAATAAATATATTTAGATTACTGGATTGAAGTTTACAACTCTAAATAGAATCGAGTGTTTAATTTTAAATTTAATCACCAAAAAAAAAAAAAGATTTTTACATTTTATCTTGTTTATTTCATAGAAAACTTAAAAAGAAAGGTAGTCTCATTTTGAATGGTGCAAAAAAAAGGGAGGGGCTCAAAAAGTCTACAATAACAAAAAAATTATGGCAATGTTTAAGAAAAGTAATTGTTTCATTCTGATCAAATAGAATCAAATAAACCAGCAATAAAAAATACTTGTAGAAAACCTGAGTAAATTGTAAGATTTACTTATAAGTTTCGAAAATATATTTTTTTTCTTTCTTAAAGTGTAAATGTTTTTTATTTCAATAAAATTCTTAGCAAGCTTTTAATACTAGCACACGCTTTTCTTCTGCAATTGGTTCAAACGCTTCAGAGAATAAAGCAAATAATGATGATGAGCAAATACGTACTAAGCAAAGGTTGTCGCAGATAAAAGATAATTTTTTTACGATAATCTTAACGAAGGATAAGAATAGAAAAACAGTATGAAATAAGTGTATATCTGCTATGACGATAGGCTTTCTTATCATAATTGTCAATTATTAGGGTTAAAAAAAAAAGATGATTTTGCTGAAGTATTATGAGTATAGCAAACGGCTATTAACTTCAGTAAACTATATGTTTTTATACTACCTAAATTATGCTTAATTTATTTTGACAACTTCGAAAGAAAAGCATAACACTAACTAAGCATTTAAAAAAATAAACAAAAGTAAATTTTGCACGAAATTGGTTCTAGTAAATTTAATTACACCCATAACTTTATGCAGAGATGCCAACTTGCTCCGGACAGCAAATATATATTTTAAGGTGGTATTTTATAAATTGTGATTCTTGGTTTAATAAATTCAATTTAGTAGATTTTTATCCACTACTATTTCTAAATAGTTCGCAGGCTTATATAATTCACCACTTTATAGTATTTATGTCATGCTAGACCTTTTAAAAAGCAAGCAAAAATAGTCAAATATTTGCAAAATTTATTATTTTTTATTTTTTTATAACCGTCGTTGAACAGCCGACCCAATTTCATGGGTTTACGACTACTTACGTTCAACTCCGTAGCCTTGTAATTTTGAACCAATCCAGAAGACAAGGAAACTCCTGGATCAGTACCCCCAGAGGTATTGATTTGTTGTGGGAACATGGAGGACTTTGAGACTCGACAGATTTAACGTGCATCAGTCACCATTTACTACACGGGGAATCTTCGGCCGGCGAGGATCGAACCCACGACCTCTTGGATATGGGCCCAGCGCCCTACCGACCAGGCTATCCCGACCCTTGGACAAGTATTAAAATAATTTAACAAAGTGGTCCGATCGTGGCAGTGGCTTGTATTAGATACAATAATTAAATTTATAATTAAGAAAATTAATTATGCATGATCTTTTCACCAGTAAAAAAATGCCAAAAATAGGATTTAAAATGCAAACCACTACCATCTAAAATGTAAACTACTCATACTATAACTGTATACATATACATATAATTATTTTGGTGTGTCCGGAGCAGTTGGCATCTCTGCTTTATGTAGCATTTTTTTTAAAATTCGCATTAAAAAAAAATTAGTCTTAAATGCATAATTTTCGACAGCTCCACTATAATTTTTTACCCAGGTGATCGTCAACATTAAAAACTGAATCATCTCGATAGTAAAAACCAAACTCTTGACAATTTTTTTTTAATAAATTACATTCTATTAATTACTGAACTGAGAGCGATTCAGAATTAAATTTAGAATACATATTTACTTAACCGAGATAAGCTTTGAATGATTCTGAAAAGCAAAATAGGTCACCCTAATATCCTCCTATCTAAAAGAAAAATATTAAGGAGTCCTGAAGTATTTAAGTTTCTACTTCTTTAAAGCGCGAATACATTCCTTACAACAATTACATGAAATAAAAATCGAACAAGTGATTTAAAAAACAACATAACATACACCTGCTGTTTATTTTGACTTATCTGATGTCATTTATCATTTGTGTCACCAAGACAAGAGTTAATTAGACACCAATTGTGAGCCTAAAAATATTACAAACAATAATTCCATATCAAATAAATCATTAAAATAACAAAATGCTTATATTTAAGAAACAGGTAACTTCTTTCGGTTACATAAACGCAGACATCTCTTAAAAGATGAATGAACCATTATAGGGAAATAATTTTATTTCAGGACAGCTCGAGACAACTTCGAAATGCAGATAAAGACATAAATGAACTTACTAAAAATACACTACTAAAAACTAATGCCGAATCATAATGAACAATTAGAAAGACAAACAAAATAGGAAGCAGATTAAGAAGTTAATAATGATGTCAAAAGTTTTGATGAAAGGACGATGGGATTAAACAAATCAAAATTAAAAGTCAGAGTGCTTCGGCCTTTCAAAAATGGAATACAGTAATTAAACTTCACTCATTTTTAAGATAGCCGTCGGAAAAAAAAATTTAAAAATCTATTTTTTAATAAACTCAAAAATGATAAATTGTAACAAGTGAAAATTAGCATACATTTTGCACACCCAACGAAAAAAGTTTACTTTTCATATACATTTACTTCAAAACTCGTTATTTTAAGGGGAAAATGAGGCAGTTTTACAGACAATCGGATTTTTGGCTGTATACAATAAATAATTGAATTGTGAACAATATTACTTTGCAACCATTAAAAATTTGCTTATAATACTTTTATTGGCTGAGTCGCATGTGGTTTTAGAAGAAAAAAAAAATATAGTTTTATAAAAATTTTAAATTATTTACTAAAACAGAGATGAAAACCCTTTTCATTTTATATATAAACATAATAAAATATAAGAGGTTAATGTGACAATTCTGTACCGTTAAAAAAATAATAAAGATAATTAATCCGTTAGGGTTAGAATTAATAAGTAATGACTAAAACAAGTTAATATAAATAAAAAATTTATAAATATCACTATATAAATATTAAAAAAAATATATGTTTTAAGTTAATTATTCTAAGATCGAATCAAATTAAATTTAAACGACGTTACAAGCAGCAAGCAATAATAATAAATAAAAAATTATGTATCTTCTTCAAGACTAGCATTGCTTGCAGGTGTAAATTCTTTTAACTATTAATCTTTTGTTTTCTTGTTTCGAATGCGAAAACGTATAGGGGTGCATGGTAAAATATTTTTATTGTTTTCTTCAATTTTTGACAGGGCATAATTTAAATCACTTGATTTAAATAATTAAAATCTCGATTTAAATCAACTGTGATTGTTTTTTAAGTCATCTATATAAACTAGTTGATTTTTTTAAAAAAGTATAAAAAAAATTTTGTACAATATAGTTAATAAATAATTCTTCAGAGTGTGATTTTTTAGAAGTTCGATTTCAGTAATATTGAAAGTTTTTTGCAAAGAAATAATGAAAGAGCTATACATGTATTTTATAAATATTTTATTTACATTAAATATTTTATTTATATGCATGTTCCTTTATTATTTTATTAAAAAAACATTAATTATAATAAACTTATTTCTAAAAAATATTTAAAAAAAAAAAGATTTTTTAAAAAATATTAAGTATAAATTATTTTCTACACAATATAATTAAAAAATAAATTTAGGTGATTTTTTTAAAATCATATTTCATAATAAAGATTTCTTACAAAGAAATAAAAAGGATATGCATATAAATTATTATATTTCAAAATAGACTCATAAAAAAGTAGACTAATAGCGAATAAGAGAGGTATGAAAAATTTTAAACTTTGATTTTCCATTAAATCTAAAATAATTTGAGGACGAAAAACTTTTGTAATTGTACCTATTTAGTTTTATGATTATTTAAACTCAGTGCTTTGAAACCCATATTAAATATATATAGTTCGTATATATATATTATATACCGGATCTAAACAAATTTATTCTTCATCAGTTATCTAATTGAAAAATAGTCTCCCAATTTTAATATCCATTAGCAATTTGAGATTGAAAAACATAACTATGATTTTATTTACTCAATACCTAATTTTTAAAAAATAATAATTTTAACTATTTCAGTGAGAAATGCTTTTAGCTATGATATTGTTTTTAAATAATATTAAGTACTATCAGAGCTCATTCTAGGCAAGGTAAACAGGGCGCAGCACCCTGCAGCCCTTTTAGTCAAAAGAATTCTCCCTGTTGCCCCTGAAGTAAATTAGTGCCCTGATGTAATAAACTCCATACCATACCCTT